CGGCGTCCAATGAAAAACTTGAGCATGTGGTGGACGCGGCAACAGCAGAAGCATATGCTTTGAGACATGGGCTCCTATTGGCGCAACAGGTGGGCGTGAACAAGCTGGTGGTGGAGGCGGATTGCCTGGAAGTAATCAACACGATGAACATGGGTGGATTCACGGCGACAGGAGCGGCGGCAGTGTATGTAGATTGCAATGTATTGATAGTAGGTTATACTTCGGTGTCTTTCGTCCATTGCCCTAGGGAGGCAAACTGTGTCTCTCATGAGCTAGCTAGGCTGGCGGTGTCCAACCCACCCTCGCTGTGGGTCGAGGAACCACCGGCATCTATTATAAGGTGGCTAGTGGATGATGTAATGGTTATTTGATCTAATAAAGAGGCCGGAGTTTCAAAAAACATGTGACTGCCTTATGGATCGATCTAGTGATTAAAAAATTAGGAAGTACTCCCTCCATTTCAAAATAGATGAACCAACTTTGTACGAACTTAGAACAAAGTTGGGTCATCCATTTTGGAACGGAGGGAGTACAATTACGCGTACGTATGCATCATTTTTAAAATGCACTATGTATATATGTAGTACTGTACCTTTTATTAGACATTTAGAGTTAGATATCATTGAGCAATTGAGTTTGTAAGTACAATCAGGGTTGATTTACTTTCACTATACTCTGCCGCCATTTTTGTCACAAGACTGACACGCTATATATATATATATATATATATATATATATATATATATATATATATATATATATATATTTGAGTTTTCTTAATAATTTGATTATCTCATGGCTCCACACAGAAGGGAACAACTGATGGAGCTCTCTCCCATTCAAACAGGTAGGGTGCAACAGCAGAGGCCTGTGGCATTCTGATTGGCTCAAGGAATCACTAATTCAGTGTCAAGATATTATATACGATTGTAGAAATGCAGTGAAAAAAAGATAAATTTGGGCAGTATCAAGATTTCAGACACCTACTTCCTAGAGTAGCTAACGTAAAAAGGGCGTGAATCTCAAATCAGTGGCAGTTGTACTAATCGGCGGCCATTTGCAGTTTTTATCATGGATATGAGCGCATTTGTAATACACGGGATTCAAGTCCAATTGCGTGGAATTATTATCGCCGGGTGTATTTCAAATTTAGAGATGAAGCGGTAGCCAATTATATATGTGGTGTTTCAAGCAGAAACTAAGTTAAATGCGCATAATTTGGTCCAATCGGTATTTGTAAACTGCCATCAACAGAGTAATAACATACGTGACTTGAAAAACATAGGTATGCCAAGAGTTATTGCAAATCTTTGAAGATGTTTAACTGTATGCAGCATATAGAGCTAATATCTGAGAGCCACAAACTAGAGAATGATTTCCACCAGCACACGCATAGCAACCGCAAGGGTCCACAAGGCACCGCATCATTCTTTCAAGCGCGCGCGACCTCATAGGGTGGAAATCGATGCAACGACTATTTCTCCATATATTTTTTTTGCATTTTTTCTTTTTCTTTTTTTATGTTGCTTTCGGTTTTCACTCTACATTTTCGTATATGTCAAAAACATCTTTTTTATAAGTGATCCACATTTTGTGTATACACGTTCAACATTGTCCGAACGCTTACTCAACATTTTTAAATGCTCGATCAGCATTTTAGTACTTATTTCAACGTTTTTTACGTACTCGTTCAATATATTTTGAATACATGTCAACATTTTTTAAAATACTTTTTCAACATTTTTCAAATACCTGTTGAACTTTTTCAAATATTTTTTCAACATTTTTTACATGATCAATTTTTTTTCAAATACTTGTTCAACATTTTTCTTGAATACTTGTTCAACATTGTTCAAATACTTGTTCAACATTTTAAAAATAGTCTTTCAATATTGTCAACTACTTGTTCAACATTTTTTAAAATGTTTTTTGTAATATATGTATATATAATTTGAAAGTATAAAGAAAATATAAAAAGAAAGCAAACAACGAAAACAAAACAGTATGGAAAAAGAACCAAACAGAAAACAGGCTGGTGTTTTCCGCGTGGGTCGGCCGGCCCAACTGGCGTTCCCTTCAGAGCGAGGGGTCGCTCCTGTCTCGCTTAACGTACGAAATAGGGGTTTGCAATGCATGCCTCAAGCAGATCCCGTGGTGGCACAGGCTACCGTCACGTCACTAGATAATTTATGTGGATATGCTTTTAGATAATTTATTTATGACCTTGCTGTCAGCTTGTGCTTCTGACTAATCTCTTCTATGACTAGCTTAATTTTTTCTCGTTTTGGATGCATCATGGTGTATTTGTACCGGTTAAAGTCTGTTGTTTTGTGTTAAGAGAGAGTGTACAATTTATTTATTTGTTTTTCGTTATTGTTGAAGAAGGCTATATATAATCCTGCTGATTATGTGATTATCTTGCTGGTACGAGTTTGACTATGAGTGGCATTTCAATTCATCCGAGGAATCTTACTCTCATCAATCAAGGCAACTGGACGTTTAAATATTTTGCCAGACCAATGATATATGATCACTTACATGCACCGAGTTAGCATGTAAAACTATCGCATGGATTTAATTTTCATTCCTTGACTATCCACTTTTGCAAGATACACTTGCTGAAATCTTTGCTATAAACTCACAATTTTGCCTCAACCCATATTTCATCAAACCGGATAAAATAGGGAATACAATTACTAGGACACACAATGGCCTATGGGTCAGCAACCTAAAAATAGAAAAAGATTGGAAAATACTACAACATGACAAATTTATTGTGAGATGCAAGCTACCATTTCAAGTAGACCGGGCCTATATCATCTGTTGCATGCCTCAAACTGATGGTGTAGAGCATGTCACTCCCTTCGGCATCGCCACAAACATTCGCCCAAACATATTAGAAGTAAAATTACAAACGCACATTTAAAAGTGTAAGTAACAGTTTATTAGCACACATCTAAAAGAGAGTATGTGGTAGATGGCAATCTCCCTTGGTCGCTGCACGCGCAAACTTCTTCTCCATATACAATGCACACCCAAAACTTATAATGGACACAATTATAATTAAATAAAATAGTTCATTTTATATAGGTTTAAAAGATGCATCATGTATGCCTCAGTATTTTCAACCACATGCATATATCGCCAGGTAAACCACGGCGGATAGTTCATATACAAGCCAATACACATACACACAATGGAAAAACTAGCACAAGAGAGGCATGCTTGCATGCATGTAAACCCTCTAGCGGTCACACCAAAAAATTAAATACGGTGCAAACCAATATATGGGTTGCCATATATCGAACGACTGTCTGATGGATGATAAATTTATATATGCACGCACACACATATATAGTCTTGGATCATCTGATCAGCAGTATTTCCACATGTCATCCATACCCATGTTGACCGACGAGGTCTTACCAACTACTGTTGCCGTGACGTTGCCCTGGTAGGTGTTGCTCTGCGTGGGCACAGTATCCTCATGTGACACCATCGACGACGGCCCACACCCAGTCTCATCCCCGACCATGAAACCCTGATCCGCACCCATATACATCATCATTTGCTGATGTTGTTGGTAGAACGATAATGGTGGTGTTGGGTCTGCCATCATCTGCTGGTGGCGGTTCCCTATGTAGTGGCCATTCATCATAGGAAGCGCCATGCTGCACATCACCGATGAGCCAGCCCCGATGTTGTGCAACTGGTATGAAGAAGCTGCAGGAAACAACGTTGGATTTGCTAGCGATGACGACATGTCATAGTCCATGAGAGGAGGCAATGTATCTAAGTTAGCGAACCCCTGCCGATGTTCTGCTCCGGTGGACATTGGCATGACATATGACGGCATCACCACCTTCTTCAGTCCGGTGCTCTTCTGGAAGATCCTGCAAACCACACACTGTTCCTACAAGCATACATAAATTAAATAAGTGCAAATCAACTATAATCAGTAGCATCCTTTTCAAAAAAAAAGATCAATAGCATGCCCCAGATGTGATGCTTTTTCTCGCAGATGCCGATCACTTTGTCATTCACTGCTCACGTTCATCATATATCTTCCATAACCTGGGTATTTAGGTGGCCATGTCCAAGTGCCAATCTCTGGAAATGGGGACACGGTGACTCCCCCAGGTCTCGACTCCAACATTTGGCCTCGGTCAACTTTTCCATCCTTTAGAATATTTAAGACTCATGAAACGCTACTACAATCCATGGCGGTATTTACTCACCTCGGTCTACTAGCAAGAACATTACTGGTTTCTCTTTTTTTACCCATACGTTCAAGTAACCTACTCAAAACGAGGCCGCTATGTCAAGGTCGCTTTATCTCCCCTCACGCATCGGTGCAACATTGTAATAATTCTTGCCATGTGTATTGGCAACTTAAGAGTAATATTCAGGTGGCGATTCTTCCCCCTGATTGTTCAGAAAAGGTGGCTAACTAGCTACTGGCATGTTAATAATTCATGACTACTAGTATACTATTTCATCCATCCGAAAAAGCTTGTCCCTCAAATGGATGTATCTAGCACTAACTCCATTTGAGGGACAAGTTTGGGACAAGTTTTTGGGGACAGAGAGAGTATAAGTTTATTATATACCTTGGAAGCCGCGTTAGTGGTGGTGACGGTGCGGGTTGCGGTGGACGGGTTGGATGTCAGCTGCTGGTTGCTCTCAAGCCTATACTCATGCATGATCCAATTGGTCTTCTCCCCCCTAGGCGCCCTGCCCTTGTAGAAGATGAGCGTCTTCTTCATGCCGATGAGCGTGTGTGGCGGGTGGAAAATTTCCTTGTCCTTTCCGGTGGCCTTCCAATAGCCGTCACCCATCATCCTGTTCGTTCGTATTCCAGTGGGGTACTTGCGATCCTTTCGGGAGTAAAAGTACCACTCCTTCTCCCCCATCTTTGCTTTCTTTGGTAGCTCCCATGGCTCGTACTTGTTCAAGTTCACATCCTCAATCGCCGCAGCGATGGAGGCTTCATCGAGCACCTTGGGAACCAGATAGGAGTTGATGATCTCCTCATCCGTCGGGTGAAACCTAAACCCCGGCGGAAGCTCCAACTTCTGTTGCTGAACTTGAAGGTGGTCTGTCATGGTGGAGGCTTTTTGTGCAATGGATTCTAGGGTGGTGGCAATATTGGGGGCAACCATAAATATGTAAGTAATGATGGAATGAGTTTAATGAGCTATGGATATCTATGGAGGCGCTTAAATAGTTGTAAATGCATGTACTGGCAAGGCGCCTGCCAGAGAAGTCTCAAGATTTTTTTTGCCTTTTTTTAATTCTTTGTCTAGTGTCACTCGCTATGGATGGATAGATAGATAGCCTCCTCATCTTTACAACTATGCATTGTTTGTCCTGTTGGAGGTGTCACACCCTTGTGGTGACAAGTAGCTAGGTTTCTCGAACCTCTCCAAGCCATGACATGCCAGATTGCATACTTGGTTTTGTTCTCATTCTTTTTAACGTATGCATATGTGCTCTTCGTGCTACCCCTACCACATGTCATATGCATGCTTCTGTTTCTAGTATGTTTGGCTTTGTGATGCAAGGCAAACAAACACTCACATTTGTCTCGCCGGCTGGATGCGCATATATAGCACTGCTGCTGTTTTCTGTGATGTTTAATCTAGATGCGACCTATAAATATTATATAGCCCCTACCACATGTTTACAAATAAAAACCGTGTGTGTTTCGTAAGTCTACGACCCCTAGATTGATTGGTACACCCAGCCATAGTTCACCATTAATTGCTAGCAATACATGGAAGGAGAATTCTCAATGCTGTGGTACCTATGGATGTGAAACACAGTCAGGGGAGTGAATTGCAGAAAACCACCACATTGAGGCTTAGGTTTGCAGAAAACACTGTAAACTGATCAGTCAATTTGGTCATTTTAACCGTGATTATGACATGTGGGTCCCGCATTTGATGATGTGGCATAAAGGTTCAGTTATACGATTTAGATGAGGGCTTTTCTAAATTTACAAAACAGTCCCTGCAATTTTATGGAGAGAACCTTCAATCAAAAAACAAAAAGCAATCATCTCCGACAAAACAGTGGTGTTTTTTTGCAATTCACTCCATTTGTAAAAGATGCATGATGTACACACATTTACAACACATGCATATGTAGCTAGGTATACCCCGGTGGGTAGTGCAGATACAAGCCAATACACATATACACAATTGAAAAACTAGCACAAGAGTGGCATGCCAAGCCATGCCATGATTGCAAACTCTCTCAAGGTCACACTAACAAATAAAAATGCGGCACAAACCAATATACGGGTTGGCATATATCAACCGACCGTCTGATTGATGATTAATTTATGCACGCACACACACATATATATGTTGTCTTGGGTTATCTGATCATCAGTTCCGCCAAATGTCATCCATACCCATGTTCATCGGCGAGGTCTCGCCAACTGCTGTGGCAGCGGTGTTCCCTGGGTAGTTGTTCCTCAGCCCGGCCACAGCATCCTCCTGTGACAGCATCGATGCCAACCCACTCTCAGGCTGAGCCTCAACCATAAGACCCTGATCTGCACCCATATGCATCATCATCTGTTGATGTTGTTGTTGGTGCTGGTAGAGCGGCAGAGGCAGTGTTGGGTTAGCCATCATTTGGTGGTGGTGGTTATTCCTGATGTAGTGGTAATTCATCATAGGAAGCGCCACACTGCCCATCATCGATGAGCCAGCCCCAACATCGTGCAACTGGTACGAAGAAGCTCCAGGAAACAGCGGTGCATGCGCACACGTTGACGACATGTCATATTCCATGAGAGGAGGCAATGTATCTAAGTCGACAAAGCCCTGTTGATGTTCTGCTCCTGTGTACATTGGCATGTCATATGACAGCGTCACCATCTTCTTTAGTCCGGTGCTCTTATGGAAGATCCTGCAAACCACCCACTGTTCCTACAAACATACATAAATTAAATAAGTACAAATCAACTGTGTTTTGTAGCATGCCCCAGGTGTGACGCTATTGTCGGAGATGCTGATCACTTTTTCATTAGCTGCTCATATTTGGCACATATCTTGCATAACTTGGGTATTTAGGTGCCCCTGTACTAGTGCCCATCTCAGGAATTGGCAACATAGTGACTCCGCTAAGACTCGACTCCAACTTTTGGACTCGGTCAACCTTTCCATCCTTTGGAGCATTTAAGACATATATGAAACTCCATTACATTCCATGGTTGCATTTACTCATCTTGGCCTACTAGTATGAACATTATCTACGATTTCTCTCTTTTGACCCATACGTTCAGCGTACCTACTCAAAAGGAGGTCGATGTGTCATGGTGGATGTACCTCCCCTCATACATCGGTGCAACCTTGTAATTCTTTCCATGTATTGGCTACTGCGAGTAATATTCAGCTGGGGGTTCTCCCATCGGATTGTTCAAAATAAGTAGCTAACTAGCTACTAGCATGTTGATGATTCATGAGTACTACTCTAGTATAAATTTATTATATACCTTGGAAGCCATGTTGGTTCTGGTGACGGTGCGGGTGGTGGTGGATGGGTTGGATGTCAGCTTCTTGCTGCTCTCGAGCCTATATTCATGCATGATCCAGTTGGTCTTCTCCCCCCTAGGCGCCCGACCCTTGTAGAAGACGAGCGTCTTCTTCATGCCGATGAGTGTGAAAGGTGGGTGGAAGATCTCCTTGTCCTTTCCGGTGGCCTTCCAATAGCCGGCCTCCGTCGCCCGGTTCGTTCGTATCCCGGTGGGGTACTTGCGATCCTTTCGGGAGTAAAAGTACCATTCCTTCTCCCCCATCTTCGCTTTCTCTGGTAGCTCCCATGGCTCGTACTTGTTGAGATTCACATCCTCAATCGCCGCGGCAACAAAGGCTTCATCGAGCACCTTGGGGACCACATAGAATTTGATGATCTCCTCATCCGTCGGGTGGAACCTAAACCCCGGCGGTAGTACCAACTGTTTCTGTTGAACTTGAAGGTGGTCTGCCATGGTGGAGGCTTTATGTGCAATGGATTCTGGGGCGATGGTAATATTGGACACAACCATAAATATGAGTATGGAAGAAATTAATGAGCTGGGGATATCCATGGAGACGCTTAAATAGGAGTTAATGCGTGTAGTTGCAAGGCGCTTGCAAGAGAAGGCTCAATGTTTCCAGACCTTTATTTATTTTGTATCTAGTGGCACTGGCTATGGATGGATAGATAGATAGATACCTTCCCCATCTTTACAACTGTGCGTTATTTGTCGTGTTGGAGGATCCACACACTTGTGGTGACAGGTAGAAAGGTTTCTCGAACCTATCCAAGCGATGACATAACAGATTACATACGTTGTATTCGTGTGCTAGCCCTTCTCGTGCCATATGCATGCTTCTCTTGTTGGTGTTTTTGCCTTTGTGATGCAAACCAATCAAACACTCACATTTGTCGCACTAGCTGGTTGCGGATATATAGCATTGCCCACTGTTTTCTGTGATGATTGATATAAATGTATCTACCTATAAATATTGTATAGCCCCTGCCACAGGTTTACACAAAATCTATGTGCTTTGTGGAAGTCTCTAGCCACTAGATTGACTGGTACACCCAGCCACAATTTGCTTAATTGCTAATCATCCATGCTGTAGTGCCTACGGATGTCAGCCACAACTAGGGTCACATTGCTCCTGCAGGCGCACAGCCGTGACCGATCTCTACCTTCTGCTGCCTAAAACCATGGCCTTTTGGATCAATTACCACTAGGAGAGGGGAAGGGCACTAGTTGTGGATGAATTCCCACATGCATAGATGGGACCGATATGGTTCATGCTTTACATGCATGCACACACATACATGCACTGTATCTATACATACTCACATCACTGGCATTTGTCTACAGATAATCATCCGTTGCATGTCTTTTATATGCTTTCCAGGGCGTCGTGTACCGGTGCACGCTGGATATGTGTGCCACGCATCACAGCTTCCTCGCCTTTTATAGAAAACATAGTGCGGGATATATGGATCAACCCAACACTCAAGGTGTACACGATTATGTGCTTATCAACTGCATGCTTGTCCATATCCCAACCTTGCATGCATCTCCTCGTGGCCAGACTGTTTTTAAAATTATTTTATACTAGTTGAATGCCAATGCATTGTCAAGAAACAACGAAAAAAAATTTAGAGATACTTATCAAACAATTGTTATAATCTAAATGCGTGTCAAACACGATGACATGAACTTTGGATCTATGAACTTTATAATAGCTAGCGGATCTCGGAAGTTCATAAGCACATATTGGGGTGACTGATTATCATGCTAGCAAGTTCTATATGTTTAATTCCAGTAAGCTTGCTGCCATGGTTTCAAATTTAATTTTCAATAAACAAGCCTGCTCATATTTGTGCCTAATTTTGACCATAAGTTCTACCATGAAAATATAAGATGTGTCACATCAGTATTTTCTCACTCGAATTTTCCTTTCTTAGGAAATGGTAATTTTTTTGTAGTTGGCACAATTGTTTTTTCAGCTTTAATCTATAAATGTGTGACTGCCTACTTTTGCATCTCTAAACATGAAATTGCACATAAAATTTGCAATACGCAACCAATGGAGTGACCATGAGAGAAACTTATATACCTAAGAGAATTATCGCCACTACCTAATTTGGCTTAGCATGCAGCCTATCCACATCACCACATATGCCACCCCATCAATTTTTCCCTATGTTTTCCTTTCCACTAAGATAGCAGTTCTATTTCCAAGCATAATAGTCGATCGATCGCATGCCCTCCCTCATTTGAAATCGGTTCTAGTTCCACCCTCTAAAACATATGGCACACTATCCCAGCTGCATCGCCTGATCTTACCACTAAATTTTCTCTCCAGTTGACAGACCAAGGTCAATACATCTCAGCATCCCACCTAATCTTGATTGAGTTGGAGTCACCATAATCGAGCTTGCACATGCAAACTCATTCCCATGCTAAGATGAGCCTTGATGTTGCGCCGTCGTGCTGCGGCTGGACAGCAACACGTCGTGGTGCCCCGCATCTGCTTTGCCCAGCTAGCTACCTCCCATCATCCACATTAGTTTTGTCTAGCCGCGGTGCACCCTACACACCCCACCCCGCATAATTGCAGTACCACCAACGACCTTTTCT